TCTACTCTGCACCAGGGTAAACTGGGGCACAGAGAAGTAGACTGGCCTGTGAGTCACCATGGCACCCAGAGTTTCCTTCCTCCTGCCAGGAGCACCCTGTGAACAGGTCCACCAGGTGGGGGGGAGGGGTCAGCGCACCCCATCCCATCCATACTCACTGATGATACCATGGGACAGAGCACTGGAAAAAACCAGGGGGATCACCCCAAAATCCTCTGTGCTGAGACCCTAGGAACCCCCCAAGCAGTCACCCCAACATTCTCTGGAGCTGACACGAGAACACTCCCAGGGAGTCACCTCAAAATCCCCCAGGGCTGATACTGGGCACACCCCAGGGCAGTCACCGGGCACATGTTCACTACCTCGCTCCAAGCTTGTCTTTCCTCCTCAGAATCAACTCTGCAAGGAGTGTTGGCTCCCCCAGGCCCACAGCTCACGCACTTCTGCCTGCATCTCCCTGGCCCCGGGGCCCAGAGGTGGGTGGGTGCATGGGAGAACGGGCTCTACCTGAGGCTGTGGGAGCCACTCCTCCAGCTGCACTGTCCACATCCACACCTGCAGGGAGCAGCGGCCACTTCCACTTCCTGCCTGCAACAACCCTCTCACCACGAGCGAGGCGAGCACGCGGGCACTTTCTTGGCTGACGCCGCCTCTGTCCAGAGCACTTTCCTGACCACAGTTTAATCCAGGGCAGTGAATACCAAGAAAGGCTGTACCTGTCACTGCAAATTATAACCCACATCACACACACATTCCAACTTCCAGACAGGCAATAAAGGAATGGTCAAGAAGTGTTTTTAAAAATGAAAAATTATGAGAGTAAAATGAAATGTATTTGTTAAAAAGAACAAATCCTCATAAGATAAACTCAGCAATTCAAAAGCATAAAGCTCACAGGATCTGGCTGGGCTAATCTATGTTTATTCCAAGGCAAATCCTGCACCAGAAACCTTCTGGGTCCTCGGCACAAAGATGACAGAGGTCCTGCGCCTCACGGTCCAGGTGGGAGGCTGGCGGTCAGCAGGTACCCGGGTCCGGTGTCCAGACGCCTCTCAGGAGAGGGACAGGGCCAGAAGCGACGCTACCGCGCGCTGTTCATTTTGGTGGGGTGAGGATCTGCCTCCCAAGTGCCCTCCCTGTGGCCACCACTGGCGGGGATGTCAGTCTCCCTGAGAACATGAGCTTCCTAACAGGGACCTCGCCCTTCACACAGCCTGGCCGCCCCGGGATGACGTCGAGCTTATGTTGCGACCAGCTGGGCCCCGCGGTGCGAGAGAGGCTGTCTCCCGTTCTGTCATGAGGCGCGGCTTAACGGGTCCAGCGGAGACAGAGCCCCAGAACATTCCTGCGCAGGCTCCCATGCACCAGCCCGGCCCGCCGAGTGCCACAGGGCCCCAGACCCCAGCAGCACAGCTCTACTGCACCCCGCTTGGCCTTCCTGGTGTTCTACCGCACTTGTGCCCTCCAGATTCGCCTTCCAGGCAGGCAGATGTCGCTGCCACTACACCCAGACCAGCGCGGCAGGTCCGCGTCACCTGCAGCACTCAATGCTCACTCGCAGCCCAGGAGAGGCAGCCGGTCGAACTGGAACCAGATTCTCAGCCCTATCAGTTTCCAGCTCAGAACTCTGGGTGGGTAACCACTGCCTCAGTTTCCCCAGCCACAAAGGGAGAAGGAGAGTTACAAAGATCCGCTATACGTCAGTGACCAGCACGGGCATGGTACAGAGTATGTGCTCAATTAGTGAGGGCCACGGCCTCACAACCTGGGGGAAGGTGGGGCAGCAGTCAACAACATGATATTAGCTCAGGGCCTGACTCAAGAAGCAACACTAAACCGGGCATGGTGGCGAACACTTATAAGCCCACAACCTGGGAGGCTGAGGCAGGAAGATCACCTCAAGTTTGAGGCCAGCCTGGGATACATAATGAGTCCAAGGCCACTCTGAACTACATAGGGAGATCCTGTCTCAAAAAACAAAAAAAAAAAAAAAAAAAAAGCAACCCTAAAAATGATGATTTTTAGAAATACAGAGGGCCAGGGAGTTAGGAGCTCCCCTGCAGGCAGCTGCTCCAACTGATGCTAAATCCCGACAATAATTCTGTCCTTGTCATCGCCTGCGATCTTTACCCTCTCCAGACCCCTGGCCAGAGGAGACCCCGAGACCCCGCTGGCACCTTCCAAGGGGCAGCTGCTCAGATAGGCCGCACCCCCTATCCAGGAAAACCAAGCAACAGCGAGCAGCCTCTGCCCCGAGTGCTGGCAGGCCAGGGTGTTTATGGGGGACATAAAGCATCGCTCCTGACAGGCCAGGGTGCACTGCTGCTGTTACCAGGCAACCAGACCCAACAGTTCCCGACCTCAGTCCATGCCAGGCCTCGGCCTCTCTGGGGCTGGCTGCACTGGGGGCAGTGGAGGCCTTGTGGGACAGACGGGCATCACTGGCCCCCAGCAGCCCTGACCACAGCCTGTGAGCAGCAGCCGCTGTCCCTGCAGGTGGGGGAGCCGGGGAGGGCAGCTCACCACCGTGTGTAAAGCTGAACTGGGCAGCCCTGCCGGCCTGACTCCTGAGGGAGCCCTGTTTCTAGGGGCTGTGCCCTGCGCGTGGCAGGAACGAGCCTCTGGGAGTTCCTCCCACCACCTAGAGCCACTCGGGAACCCAGCAGGAAGCACACCTGAGTGGTCACACAGGCTCAGGCTAGCAGATGGCTCCGAGTCTCAGTCCCTCCCACGCCAAGGGAAGCACACTGTGTGACCTCCGCAGCCACTTGGTCTCTGGGCCTTACTCTCTGGGTGCTGCGAGGGCTGAGGACAGGAGCCTCCCGGGCCTGCGTGGGCTGTGGTCTCGTGGGCCCTTCACCACGAGGGCCATGAGTGTTCTCAGCACCGCATCCCCTCAGCACAACCTCTTCCCAAAACAAGCCAGGCCCGGGTCAAGGGATCGCCCCATGTCCTCTGTGCCGCCCACGTGAGCAACAGGAACAGACACAGGGAGTTGATGGGAACTCGGAGAGAGGGGTCATCTGGAGCCCCAGAAAGGTGCCCTTCCCTCATCCTGCCAGAGTTAGGGAATCTCCTCCAACCTCTGGGTTTTATAGAATGAATAGGAGTTCAGCAATCAACACAGAAAAGGCTGTGTACGATGGGGCTCTACAGTTACGCCTGGCTTATGATGCATTTCGCCACCTCAGCAGTGTTTCCAGTGTCCCCCGAGGGTCAGGTCTGCGCTGAATGCAGAAAGAGCAGTGTGGGAAAGGCCAAGTCTTTACCTTGCTGGGGTTTCCAGGGGACGGTACCAGATGATCAATTCTGTGGGGCCCCTTTCCCTTCCGGTCACAGTCCAGCTGGCCACTGCTCCCCACCAGAAGATGGCAGATGACCATCCATGTGTTCTGCGTCCCCTCCCTGCCCCTCCTGTCACCTGTGCTGTCAGAGGCTGCGTTAAATGGGAAGAGGACCCCTGCATTTAAGCAGGCATCAGAGATGAACGTTGGCAGCGCGGGCTGCCCGGCCGAAGGGCAGCCTGCACCGCACATGCAGCCCGGTGGGTCCTCTGCAGCACAGAGCCAGACATGCCACGCAGCGCGGGGCTAGGAAGTGGGGTTTCAAGGCCACCAAGGCCCTGAGCCCACGAGGCAGCTGAGGGGCACCATGGTGGTGCCGCACCAAGGGGCCGATGAGCCGCCCTGGGAACAGGGCAGGGGCCAGAGGGCCACCGCAACTGGTACCTGGCCAGACTGAGCCAGAAGCGCTGAATGGCCTGCGTGCTGTACAGAGTGTGGCAGGGAAGCCTGCCGCGGGTCCCCAGCCTGGAAGTGTCCAGCAGGCTGTGCCCTGGACTCTGGCTTCGTGGATCCCATTGGGCCAGTCCTTGAGGACAGACAAGCCTCACAGACACACAAGGACCAAGGGACCCCAAGAGTCTGTGGGACCAGCCCTCCCTGGGGGGACACATCCCACACTAAATGCCTTCCCTGCCGAAGCTCCTTAAAGAAATGTTCTCAGTGCCCTGCACCCCCAGGACACCAGGCTCTCCACAGAAGCTGCGGGTGAACTGCAGTCCGTGAAGTGTCAGTCATATCTGTTTAAGCCTGAAAACCACTTCGGCCCGAGGACTGAGAGGTCAGAGCTAAGTGGGGCAGGCATCTGTGTGACTGACATGGGCCCTGCAACCTTGAAGGACCCAGGGCACAGAAGGGAAAACTGAGACCCTCAGAGCCACACAGACTGCCTGAGACCAAGCACGGCCCCACTGTGACACCTGGCACAGAGGCCCCTAAAGGCAAGAGCTAGACAACGAGCCGAAGCCAGCCCCACTGTGACCCTGGTGTCCAGGCCGTGGTCCAGCTGAGAAGCAGCCACCCTTGTGTCCACATGACGGCCATCACTCGGGGCCCTGGCCCAGGAACCTCCAACCACCCTTATGCTCGAGGAAAACTTCTCAGTCAGAGGCATCTAGCGCAGACCGGGCCAGGCCACTGCGGACAGAGCCTGGATGTGTCCGGGGTCACTGCCGGGTGGACCAGGCGCTGCCCTGGGCACTGACAGCCACACGGTCACCTGTGGGGTCTGGCTACCTGCTCAGCAGACGGGGACTGCGGTGAGGAGTCACCAAGCTCTGCCCTGCCTCCCGTGGCTGTGCAGACACCCTGGCCCGCTCAGCTCTGGGTAACCGGCCGCCCAGCCTGGCCTGGCCCATGGGCCCTGACTCCTGCAAAAAGTAAAGTGAGAGCCGGGTGCACTTGGGACAGTCGGCTCCCACATGGGCTCCGCTCACCCCAGAAGGACGTTCTGGACCTGAGCCCTGACTGCCAGCTCCAGCACAGCAAGTGGAAAGGAGCCCTGCAGAACTTACGCCGCCCACCAGATGGGGGGCGCCGGGCAACGTGAAAAGGACATGAAAGAGCGCAAGCTTTAAAGGATGCGGCTTCCCACTGATGAGCCATAGGGCAGTATTTTGGGTCCATCAGGTCAAATAAAATACTTTCTTACAACTGATCTCTCCGGTCCCTTTTTACTTTTCCGACTAGCAACTAGAAAGCCCCAGGCACACACGTGGCTCCGTTTGATTTCTGCTGCACTGCATGGCCACAGCCACAGCAGATGGGAGAGGACAGCGAGGTTCCCCAGTGCCACCACCCGACGCCACCGTCCGTCTCCCCCATCCCATGGAGCACGCCCCATGTGTGGCAGCTTCACGCATCCCACGGCAGGAAACTGAGGCAGCGAGAAGCAGCAGCTGTCCAAGACCATGAGAGCAGGAGGCGACAGGCTGAGGGTCACCGCCTGGATTGAGTCCCGCGTGCAGACGCACCTGTCCCTGGGGGTGACAGGCAGCCTGTGCTCACTGCCACCCCACCGTCCTGAGGGAGCGTGGGGTCTCTGGAGGCTGAGCTGTCTCCTCTACTCTTCATCCCCAGGCCTGACACAGTGCTTAGCAACCGGGTGACAGCGGATGAATTAATGATCGAATGAATGCATGACAGAACTCATAGGGCCACTCCCGCACGGTGGCCCCAGCCAGGCACCCTCCCTGGAGGTCCATGCCTGGCATCCGGAAGGCTGCAGGGCCTGGGGTCCAGGAGGCTGGGAGGGTCTGGTGGACGTGCTAGGTGACCATCGCTGCCGGCCATTCCCCAGCTTCTGTGTGGACAGTGCACATCCGCACTCCCTCCCGGGCAGAGTCCAGGTTAGAAGCGGCAGTCTGTTTGTACAACGGCTAAATATCAATGCCGAGTCCTCAGGGACTGGATGCTAGGGAACCCTGCTCTTCAATGAAAGGAGAGAGGGAAAGCATGAAAAATGTATTAAACTTGAGACGCTGGGACCAAGCCATGAGTTAAGGATCCACATTCATCCCCTTCCCTATAACTTACGATTTTCGTCTGAAATAACCGCAGTCCTAAGGGACGCACTGGGCTCAGGAGGCTTGCTTTTTCCTTTTTCAGGGAGATGGTGCTGAGGCTTGAACCCAGGGGTACTCGTTACCACTGAGCTTACCACTGAGCTACATTCACAGCTTCCCCCACCCTTTATTATTTAAAACAGCTGCTGCTAAGCCGCTAAGTTGCCCTGGCTGGGCCTGAACTTACAATTCTCCTGCTTCAGCCTGCCAGAAAGCAGGGATTACAGACAAGTGCCACACACTCAGCTAACGCTAACTCTTAATGTCACAAAATGACACCACACTTCCTGGGTGGACAACTCCATTTTGTTTTGAATGAGAACTGTCACCACCAGGTAAGACAGGGAAAGAGGGGACCCGGAGCCAGGCTCAAGGCCTGACCCGCTGCAGAGGATCCCTGGGTCTGAACGGGTCCCACGTGGCCCGGGCCTGGCCACGCTGGTGGCAGTCTGGGGAGAGTGCAGGGTTTGCACAAGGCTCCCACTCAGACACCTCTGGCCAGGCCCCTGCCCAAGGCACAGTATACCATTCCTGGGCCGCTGAGTCTGTGTTGCTGTCTCTGGAAGACACAGCCCGGAACTCAACTGGGACACTGGACAGAAACGGCACAGTTACAGGGTCCCCAGGCTCTGGGGAGGTCTGGGCACAAACTTGGAGTCAAATGTGGCTCTGCCACTTATGAGCTCTGGGACCTGGCCCAAGGCATCCCTGTCCGGGCCTGTTTGTGTGTGTGGAGGAGGTGACAGGAAGGCCTCACCAAGTGACCGCGGGGACGGCTTAATGTGAGGAGGTGAAATCCCAGTGGGGCCCCACACTGCAGTGTCAGGTTCGCGGGCACCGTGCACACAAAGACGCAGGGACACGGGACTTCAAGCACCTCAGCGGGCTGTAGCCCTGCACGGCCAGGGGCCCACAGGGTGCAGTGCTCTGTGGGCGGGTAGCAGTGTTGGCTGGAGTGGGAAACAGGTTCCCTGGGCCCGGACGTGGCAGGTGGTGGATGAGGACGGAAAGGGAGGGAAGGGGACACCGACCCTGAGCGCTGTGAGCAACGTGGCTGCAGACGGGCAGAGGTGCGGCCCTTATGGCCTCGGGGACCTCCCTGCTCCGTGCCACCCCTGCTGAGTCTCTGTCCTCTCCTCAGGCACTCGGCCTGCATCCCGGCAGCCCCTGTGTGTCGGGGCACAGCCCTTCTGGAGCCATCGAGGGTGCTCCCGGATGCCTGAGCCTGGCTGTGGCCACAGTGGCACTGGGCAGGGACCCCGGCCCTGGATGCCAGCCCCATTTTCTCTGTGAGTGCACTGACCTGACCACAGGAGTCTCAGATGCCTCAGCGGCTCCACGCTCACCCACCGCCAGGGTGCACCCCAGGCCTAGGGGCCTGGTCCCCAAGACAGGCTGGGGATGAGGAGGCCCTCACAGAGGCCTGGGCCGGGCCACCCGGAGGGGATGCGCTGCACTGTGGCCGGGGTCCTGCACACACGGTCGGCCTGGTCACATCCGCGTCGCCCAGGCACGGAGCGCAGGAGGAGCGCCAAGCCCCTGCCCTGGCCTCACACCCTCCAGGTGCTCAGTAAACACCGAGCCATTCACACCGCGAAGCTCCTCGTCCACGCGCTGGCACACAGGGAAAGAAGCAGCAGGCACTGCAGTCTCTCAGAACAAAGAAACTCTCGATGGGGAACAGGAACTCCCAGGAGGAGCTGGCGGGGCAGTGGGCAGTGGGTATGGGGCCCGGGGCCACTTCTTGGCTGTGGTCCCTGCTCTGCAGAATGGGGTGCCGCCGCCTCCAGCCCACTGCCCCCTCTCAGGCAAGCAGCCACCCCCCTCCCTGGCGGGGCCCACATGATGCCACTCTGGTCACAGCCAGCCTGGCAGAGCCAGGCCAGCGGCTCCGTCCATCCCCACAGGGAAATGGCCAGGCGTGCGCTGGGTGTAGCAGAGCAAAGAAATCCTCTCAGAGAGCGGAAGGAAGGCAAGGAGGGAGCCCAGGCACGCCTCATCCTAACCCTAACCCTGAGCCTGACCAGATCCTCCAGGCTTGACCCAGGAGGAAGCTGTGGCCTGGTCGGCACCCAGGCCAACTCCCAGAAGGCAGTGGGCGCTGAGACTGGGGCTCCGGCCCCCCAGGGCCGTGCAGAAGCCCAGGCTCCTGCCTTGGCCAAGGCCCCATGGAGACCAAGGACCAGGCCTGCCTTAAATGTGGTGCTGGTTCCCCTGACTGGGGACGCGGGGCCTCCCCTCCTGCAGCCTCCCCGTCTTCCTCCCCAGCCCTTACTCAGCCAGCTCCTCCAGGCTGCGGTAGACGTCGTCATCGTTCTCCGCGGTCTCCTCGGAGGGAAAAGGCCTGGGGAGAGAAGGGGACAGTGAGGACACGGGTGTCTGCGATGCCGGAGGAGCCTGCCTGGCTCTGCGGAGGGCGCTGGGCGTTGGCTGTCCCCCAGGTCTGGTGGAGGCGCCCGGTGGTGCAGACATGGACCTGGCACCTTGTGAGCTTGGGTCTGAATGCTCACGAGGCCATTTCCTGGCTGAGGGCCCTTGGGTGAGTCCCTACACCTCTCTGAGCCTGCAGGCCACACGGCAGCCCATACTGGTGGAGGCTCGGCACACACAGGGGCCCCACAGGGATGCAGCACAGAGCCCAGCCTGTCACCGTGGGTGCAGGAAATGGATGGATCCCGGCAACGTCCAAAGAGAGGGCCCTGGCAGACCAGGGGTCTGGGCCTGGCATGGCAGAAGCCTCGTCCTGTGTCACCACGCTGCCCCTCCTCCAGGCACTGGCCTTTCTGGGGTGTCCTGGTAGCAGGACATGGGCTCCCTGGACACCTCAAGGTGAGACACAGGAGGGAATGCCAGGGGCGCCCAGCACTGTGCCACCTGCCGGCACCATGGGTCTACCTCCCTCGGCCACCCCAGGTAAGGTGACAGCCGCTGTGTACAGGATCCACACTTGGGAGGGCGCGCACGTCAGCAAAGGACCCGCTCTGAGGGGAATGACTGGGGGATTCTGCCTGGCCCCAACAGTGCAGCGCTGTGACCAGATGCCCCTTCCTCCCCTTCCCGGAAGGAACGTGCTCCACGCACCCCAAGATCCCTGTGCCCCCACTTCTGACGCACAGGGTGATCTGGGTGAGCTCCCATCACCCAGTTCCTCTCAGGGTCTGCTATTGTTGTGGGGCTCTCGTGGGCACATAAAATGAAAATCGCTTTCCTCCTGGTAACCTGCCATTGTCAACTCCAGCCCAGCCAAACAACCTAGGGTAGAAGGAAGCAGGGGTTCGGCCCTCAGCCTCTGCAGACAGCAGGAGGCCCCAGTGTCAGCTTCCTGTCTCCAGACGCCAGCACAGGCCACTCCAGGAGCCAAATGCTCGGGAGGGAGGTGGGAGACTCAGATTAAAGGCCTTGTTCAAAAGCAGTGGGAGGTGAAATTCCTTTTTAATTAAACCAAGTACCCTGCAGCCCCAGGGTGCAAGTTCCTGGAATCCTGCTCCCCAGGACCCTCCTCACCCTCCCGCCTGCCACCCAGGGTCAGCCTGACATTGGCTCGCGGTGATTCAGCAAGGATCGCAGCCAAGTGCCCAACAGCCTCCCAGCCAGGCTGAACCGGAAGGCCTGGTCCCACAGGGCGCTGTGGCAGACCTGCGGCAAACTCCGCCCCCTCCTCCCCGCCTCTCCTGTCACCAGGGCAGCAGCACTCAGTAGAGGGGCGTGTCCTCGGGTCACCATGGCGCCCTGGCCACCTGCAGGAGGCCCTACCGACTCAGCTGTGCTCTCAGCCAGGAAACCCCAGAGGGACCCACGTCACCCCGCTGTAGGACGGAGCCCAAACTGACCCCGATTCCCATTGGCCTGATGGGAAATGGCACTGAGGAGCAGGGTCCAGATCCTTCCATGACCCCAACTGCCAAAGGGACCAGAACACGAGTGACCAAATGGTGCTGGGAGGCTGAGCCTGATGCCCCCTGCCAAGGCGGGCTCCCCACTGCCCCCGTCCCACAAGGTCACCAGCACTCTCCCCAGCCCCCCGCCAGCCATTCCTGCACTTTCCAAACTTGCTTGTTTTAAAATTTATTTTTAACTGATACAGAGAAACACAACAACTGCGCATACACACGGGGTGCCACTTCATTACGCTTTTTAAGTCTTTCACGATGAAGGGTGTTCCTTTGTTATAAGGACAAAATATCTAAATTGCTGCTATTTAACAAAAGTTGCCTCGTTTATATTGCAAACACGTAAAGGCCCGCTCCTATCCAACTGAAGCGTGCTGTGTGTAAAACGGCTTTGCGGCAAAGACAAGCTTCCGGAGAACTCGGGGAGGCTGTGGCCTTGTTCAAACCCTGACACGGGGTGTGTGTGGAGACAGCGGCCAGCTGACCCACTGGAGGGGCCACGAGCACGCACACCCGATGTGGGCACCTCCCGTCCCTGGCAGACATCACTAATCGACTGCAGAGCTCCTGTGTTGTTCAGGTGAAACCAGGGAAGCTGAGCCCAGGTAGGGATGGAGAGGGAAGGATTCAGAGCAAGACAAGCCCAGTGGTGAGTCCCAGGCCCGCCACCTACTCTGGGTGACCTCGGACAAGCTACTGAGCTTCTCTGACTCAATTTCCCCCCAAAAGTGAAGCCAGTGGCTCCTTCTCACGGGGCTGCTATGTGATGGCAGATTGTTCCGCACTGGGCAACACCCAGAGAGTTGGAGCTCTGGGTTATTATTCCTGCCATCAGCCTCATCCAGGCCAATTTCTACTGCCTAGGAAATCTAACCTCTAAGCCGGGTGTGGTGGCGCACCCCTGCCAACCCAGCACTCGGGAGGCGGAGGCAGGAGGATTGCTGCGGGTTTGAGGGCAGCCTGGGCTACACAGGGAGACCCTGTCTCAAACAAACAAAACGACACAAAATTAACTCGTGGTGCCCCGTGAGTGTCTGCCAGCCCATTGCCCACGAGCATTTCGGTACCTTGTTTCCTAATACACAGAAAGTTGGTGCCCACAAAAGTAAGGCATAATAGTAATTTCAAGGCTTTTCAGATGATCACGTACGCATGCCTTTCCTCATTTCACTTTTCTACGTCTCGTCTCTTTCAGGGTCTTGCTTTGGCCTCTCGTGTCATCTCCTACACTCGCCCGACCCCATGGACACAACACAGGCCAGTTAAAGCCAGAAGAATTACACTGCTGCCCATAAAATCTTACTCTGCCATCACTGCTGGGGCCTCAAAGCCCTCAGAGAATGGAGCTGCAAATCCAATTAGCCCTTGCCACGGCCAAACACAGACAGGCCTCGCCTGGTCAGGACGGGAGGCACCCCTCAGGGTCAGATAGGGCTGGGGAAGGGAGCGGGAATGCAGGGTGGGGGCCTCCCAGGTGGGGTGGGGAGGCTGCCCCCTGCACTCACCCCCCACCCTGCTCCACCTCCAGCCTGGGCCTGCGCTTGGTGCAAGGCATCTGTCCCCCCGCCACACCCAATCCTACTGTCCCCAGCGCCCGCGGCAAACCCCGCCTCACGAGGCAGCAAGACCTGATTGCTCTCCGCCCAGGCCCATCCTGCCTAGCAGGGTGCCAGGCACTGGAATGGCAATGATGGGTGAGTGGGTGGATGGACGGGTGGGTGGCAGGTAGGCAAACGGCTGGGTGCACGGAGGGGTGGATGGACGGACCGGATATAGAGATGGCTGTTGAGCGGTGGATTCATGGATGGATGCTCGAGTAGACAGGTGGGTTTGACTGTGGTTGGATTTGTGGGTGGCTGGAAAATGGGAGAACGGATGGGTGGACAGGCAAAAGGATGGATATAAGACATTCCCAAGCTGCTCTTTCCCTACCTGTAATTATGACAAAGTGCAGCTCTGAACTGGAGCTCAAAGCGAGCTCAGGAGAAATCACATGTGAGGGTTCCGGTCTGGTCTGGGGAGGAACAGTCCAGCCCAGGCCTACTGAACACTGGGGGCCTCTCTGTGCAGACAGCCTCTGAGCGGAGTTCTGGGGCCACGTCCCAGCTGCAGCTCACAGCCCAGGAGGGGCCGCGGCAGGCAGGCACTGTGGCCACTTGGCCACAAGACCCAGCTCCCTGCCCCGTCTTCAGACACCAGCCGACCCTGAACCTGCATCTCACCCCAGTGTCCCTTCCCCTGGCTCCACGGGACACCAGGCGTCAGTCTTCGGCATTAATCTCTCACTAAGGGAGGAAGCAGGCGTGAGAAGCAAGAACGGTCAAGCGGGGTCCACACAGAGCAGCTTGGTCCCCCGGGGCAGCGGGTTCCTCTCTGCCCATCCCACCTTCCTAAGGACTCATTTCCTGTCCTAGGCTGCTGGGAAGCTGCACCTCCCCAGCATCAGCCGGGGATTAAGCAGATACCCCTGCAGGAAGCCAAAAAGCCCTGCATGCCAAGAAATCCCCGGCATGGAGGACCCAGCACTACCCCTCCTCCGATGTGGCCCACCCGATCCCACCCCAAGCCTCCTCCACACCCCGTCCTCCCTTGAGCCGCCCCTCTTGAGGAGCCCCCACCACATGAAGACAACTTCCGCATCCAGCCTCGTGGCCCCTGTATCTGCCCAGGATGATGGGTCTCAGTGCCAGGACCAGAGGGATCAGCAGACAGAGGAAGACCAGAAGACAGGACACCCTGAAGGGTGCTCGAGGTTGAGCCCACCCCAAAGGAGGAGCAGAGGAGATGCGAGTCCCACTTCCACAGTCTTCCTCCCTCCTCCGTCCCTCAGGTGTGCACAGGACACCTGCTCGGAGCTGGCCATTGGGCGTCAGGCAGCAGGAGCAGTGCATGTCCGGCTCTGAAGTCAATACCTGAGCTTCTGGTCCCCCCTCAGGACTTCAGGGCGCCCACAGCCGGGGGGAAGCCACCCACGGTCTGGAAGGAGCAGCAGCCCAGATGCTGCGGGGGCTGCTGGCACTGAGGGCAGCGGGACCTCTGGCCAACCTGGACCTCAGGACCTCAGCAGAATGCAGCACGGTGCAGGATGTGGTTTCTAAACGAAGCCTGGTGTAGTCGAAGAGGACTCACAACGCAGCGCCTCCTTCCAGGCAGGCTCCAGAGCCGGGTTCCAGGGCAGCGTTACCCTCACACGCTCCCGTTCCCCGGTGATGGCTGGAGGACCTCATGCATGGGTGTGACAGGAAACACGCTCTACATGTGACATCGGAGCTGTGCTCGGGACAGGACACAGCAGCCACCCCGCCATGCACCTGATGCTTCTCCCATCCCCCCAGGTAGCACGGGCTGGGGCTCACTGACCCGCTGACCCCATCTGGCATGGGCTCCCTCTGCATTATTTAATCATGCAGGGCCTGCATCCCTGCAGGACCCCCTACCCCAAGATCCCAGGACA